ATGCATCGCCGCCACATGCCCAAGTATCTTGCGATAGCTTCGAATCATTCTGCTCTCTTTCCTTCCTTTGAAAAGATTTCACTCACCATTAGTAAAAGCATGCGCTCTTCTGTCTGGGCTCCAAGCAGAGTCAACCCTGCGTTGCGCAGTTCTCAACGGCCACGTTGCGCAGTTTCGCCCGATTAGACACGTTCTCTCGCGCGAACATTCACACTCGCATGCTCGAGCCGTCTGCGTCTCCGCCCATACAGCGTGCGTTGAGGATCTCTCAACGTGCCGTTGCGAACTGCGCAACGCAGGGTTGACTCTGCTTGGAGCCCAGACAGAAGAGCGCATGCTTTTACTAATGGTGAGTGAAATCTTTTCAAAGGAAGGAAAGAGAGCAGAATGATTCGAAGCTATCGCAAGATACGGGGGCATGTGGCGGCGATGCATTTCAAACCGCGTAAAACATTTCCTTTCTATCAAAAATGGGACTGAGCGTTGGGTGAAGCAGAGGCTCCAGATTGCGCAGTTCCTTCCCCCTCCGGTCCTCAGTCCTAGAGGATGCCCTTGTAGCTTGCGGTAGCACCCAAAACATTACGAACAACGTTACGAAAGACCAAATACAACCAGCGGAATACTCAGGAATGAAACAGTTGGCATTGGGCCAGAACAAACATGTTTAGACGTGTTCTATGCCTGAACCATGTATCAGCAGCTATGTACCACGACGTGACCGGAATGCACACGTTGGACAAAATGCCCCCGTATCTTGCGATAGCGCAACTCCTTATCCTTTCACCCGATGGAATGGGACTGTGACCGCTGTCAATACCTACGGTTTAGGTTGATCCCACGCTACGAAACAGGAAAAAACCAGTGGAATACTCAGGAATGAAACCGCTGGCATTGGGCCAGAATAAACATGTTTTAATTTGTTCTGTGCCTGAACCATGTATCTGCAAGTATGGAACCGGAATGCACACGTTCAGATAAAAAATGCCCCCGTATACTGCGATAGCGCAATTCCTTATCCTTTACCTGATGAAATGGGACTGTGACGGCGAACGGTAACACTACCCACGGGCTAAGCTGATCCCATGAGGGCCGAGCGCATCCCATAGGAAGCTGGCGCTCCAGGCATAACATCTATGTATCTTGGAAGACGAGAAGAGCGCAGTGCAGACCACACACCACAAGTGACGACGGCCAATAAAAAGTGGCTTTTTTCTTCTTTTTCTTGGCCGTCGTCACTTGTGGTGTGTGGTCTGCACTCGACGCTGTTCTCGTCCTCCGAAATAGAGGGTATGTGGCTGGTACTAAACTTACCGGTGAGGAATAAAAGCACTGAATGGGCTGCTAGGGCGTTTTTGTCATTTCAAGGACCGGAGACCGGATGCGTACTCAAATGCCTCAGTGATTCAGAGCTAAAGTTGAATTCGTGGCGCACACAGGCCTTGTAGATCCAGGTTAATAGCAATGTGTCTTCGGCCCATCATTCTGTATTATTATTTGCTAACATTGTGACTAGGATAGCTTTCATGGCATCAAGCCAACTGGGTTAAAGGCAAGGAAAAGCGAAAAGAACCGCCCAAGTTTTTGTAATTAGTAAAATGGTCAAAACAATCGCCTTATTGCTCCTTACTCAAAGATCTTAAATATCGATTAGTTACGTTTCTATCTAATTTGTCTATTCCTGTCTTTATTGCTCTCTAGCTCTAACTTTTCAGCCTGCCAGAACGGTATCGCATGTCCACCAGGGATGAACTGCTATTTGGGCCGATGTATAGCTAATGGACTGCCCATGGGTCCAATGAGCCCTTTGGGTCCAATGGCACCAGGACTTCCTCCGATAGGGAAATAGTGGTTTAATGTGTTTGTATGTTGTTGTAATCCTATTGTAATGTTGTAATCCTATTTGTATAATTCACTTGCATGTTGTTTTATGTATATAAATGGAAACGAAAAAAGCGGATAAATCAAAAATTTATTGAGCTTCTGGTATCTAAGTTCGCGATGTTATTAAGCCCTCAAGGAGAACGTTGAACAAGGAAAGACTTAAAGGCAGCGGACACGATGTGTGCGGCGCAGATACTAGCTGGACACTCATTGATGGAAACGAGTCTAGACACGTTTCCACCTGCGAAGTGCGCAACTCTTAAAATCGCTCCGATCTCTGATCGCTACCTTCTGAAAGTAATGATAAAACGATCAACGCATCGATTTATCTACTATTGAAATGACTAAATCGACGGCTTTTGCCGGTGATTGTACAAGACAGCGTACGTAACCCACTTTAGGGGAGTTAGGGGAGACCGCTCAACCTCTTACCCCAAGCGGGAAGGGGCAGTGACCTAGTAGAACTGTGGACTCGGACGGTGAGGTTACTACGAGCGACACGGATCAACGACATAGACGGATATAAACTCATCATGGCCCAAATAAATGAAGAGGGTTAAAACCGATGCATGATTCCTGCCACAAGTTTTCCGGAACAAAAGTCATGTATCCTGACTTAGAATTTGTCAATTGCCTCGAATACCTTCAAAACCCGAGTTTCTTTCGAGTACCGTCATCGAGAGTATTTAAAGGCATAACCCAGGCAGAAGTCGTGTGAACGCTTCCCCTTCCGGTCTGTAGTATAGACCCCTAGAGGACAATCACAAATGTGGCGTTTCGTGCACGGAAACCAACCGACAAGAGCGCTTATGCCTTGCAAAGTACATAGCTGCTGCAGCTGCAGCTTCTTTTCAGGTTGCGCCCTCTCATCTGATGCGATCTCTCGCCGCTCTCCGCGCTTAATCTCTCAACCGTAGCACAGCCGCATTACGAAGGTGAACAATCACTTGATCTGAGCGTTTTTGACAGACTATTCTCTTTCTTGTTGCCGACCCATTTCGCACCAATACAATCGCATTCGTGTGCTGATGATGATGATGTTCATCACCGGGGACGGTAGTAAAGTGGCCTCAACTGCTAGTTACCACGTGACCATGAGCTCGTGGTAACTTGGTGATGGCTTCCAAACGAAGTTACCCTAAAATATGCGTAGAGCACCTCTAGGTCGAAGTGAGTTCGAACT